AATATTATTTAGAGATTCTGTCTTTTGTAGTTCTCCTAAAATCTCCTACTTTAATTATGTTTCTTAGCTCTTTTATTTGGTGGCTTCTCAGGCTCTGGTTCTCCCGCGGTGTCGACATCATGAAGGGGAGGATAGACTCCAACACTGTATGACACGTCCACATCCACCAGTCCGTCTTTACTGGCCAATGTTGTGGTCAGGGGACGATTCAGTCGCTCCCACAGCTTCTGCTTGATATGACGCCTGAGCTCCAAAGTGTATGGACGAGCCATGCCATCCATGTACTTGTGAGGAGCAAAAATAGAATTAAAATTGAACAATACAGGACTAAAAGTGTTTTTTATGGAAAAGCTGAGAGACAGATTCTAATGCAGCTGGAAAGGTGTGACGTGACTTTTGACACACACACATGCTTCAGCATGTCATCGACCACTTCATAGTAGATCTGCTGGTACTCTTCCACTGAGCGGTTGTGGATCCTCATAGGGCTGTCCTGTCACAGCGGAGGAGTGGAGGGCTGGGGGCGACAGTGGAGACCACTGCAGGTCCTCTGGTGGGATGGGATGGCAGACTGAGGGATCGGCCATCAATTGGAAGGATGGGCTACTGAGGTCCGCTTCCTCTTCTGGGGATGGCGGGGAGTAGATGGAACCTGGTGGTGCTTTGGTTGTAAATTCAGCAACATATGAGGAAAAACATCAGGCTTCAGTGAAACTATTACTTTATAACAAACTTCTACAATCTCACAAGAGAAAATCGACCTCAGATATACTGCAGATGACTACTTTGTCAAAATAAAGACACCTTCACAGATTCTGTCCTACAGGATTTTAGAGCTACAACCTTTACTTTATTGTATACCTGGCTACAAAAAGAATTTCATTTGAAAAAGAGTACAAATTAACTAGACAGTCTAGACTATCTCAACATGTTCAGTGTTGACAGCGCACTCTGCTATACATTTTCCATGTTGTAAAGAAGCCTGGTCCTTGAGGGTTACACAGTCAACAATATGTTTCATAAACCCATGATAAAACATGCACTTTTCACCTGGTTGTCCCTGCAGCATGGACACTGTCTGTAGGGTCCAGGTGTCCTTGCATGCCCTACATGGCGGGGAGAGATTCGCCTTCGGTGTCGCAGGCCCATGGGCACATCACTCTGTAACAATACACACATGTTTGAATGAGACTTTGTATGTACATTAGACCTGTTTGCCCTTCCAGCCCATGAGCTGCTGGGCCCCTGCTAACTCCCAGTGTGTACAGTTGTACTTTGCTGGACTATTATGTGGCTACCGATTGTCTGTGGTAACCTAAATAAACATAATATATGCTAATAATATGCTATGTCAGCACACAATTGAAATACGGAAGGTTTTGGCACAGGGGATCATAATCTTCACGAACAGAGCCTCACAGCTGGGGAAGCAGGACCCTACTGAAGGCCTTTATCATGTCAGCTGTATTGTGTTTTAGTATTACATATCACACATCCCCCAAAGAACAAGTTGTCGCTTACATCACCACCATGTATCCCAGCTGGCAGCTGGTTTACTGTTAGTATATCATTGATTTAAACGCATATTTTCACATCCTGTGTCAGCACTTTGTACAGTCTCATACTGTACTTTATAGTATAGTATATAGGTATTAGTATATTATAGGTTCAGCATGAAGTCTTAAGCCTGAAGATCTTTTTCCTCTCCACTTGAACTCAAACATAAATGCAACACATGATGGGTGGTAAAGTTTTTTTCTTCTCTGGGATTCTGCATCATTTATCATATCTCCCCTGTATTCAACAACAAATTCTCCTTTGTAAACTGAACCCTTTGCAAACACACCACATCCTGCAAAAGACAATGAAAACATTTTAAACAGGAAAAGCGATCCATTCTACCATTATTAATTAGTCTATGGTAATATGTGATGCAGAAAATGCACATCTTGCAGGTAAAGAATGACAATTACACAAAAACGTAACATAATGAATGGTAGCTGATTTGAGAAAATTAGCAAGAGTGTATTTAATGTATCTTGAAGGTCTGAAATAGATGCTCATCAGATAATAATTGTACATGTTAGTAATTTTTAAATGTTACATTTCATCAGACATCACCTTACCTTATACTGCATTGATGTACTTCACCTCTAATTTGCATCCTTTGTCAGTCTTTGAAACAATATGGTCCTTAAGGGGGCTGACTTGTGGTGGCATTTTAAGATTCTTAACAGAACACAAGGGTTAAACTGTAGCAAAAAAATTTGTTTGCATTGGTTTCAGTTACAGATTGAGGTTTTTAAAGTTATTGGCTATATAATATTTTGTGTAACAGTTGTGCTCAGATAGTTAAATTAGGGTTTCTCCTCTCTCTCAGGCTACCACTTCTTAAAGTAATTTTAATAACAGATACTCAAATAGAAAACAATCTGATATGGAGAGCTATTAAAAATAAAACTCTTGCTGTAGCCTAAAACCTCAAGGGGTTATTTACATTGCAGGATGCAAATACACACCCTGAGAAGCAGACACTTTATGCAACATATAGTTGTGAAATAAACTGTATTGTAATCGGTTTTTATTTTTTTTGGACAATATAGTGAAATAAATGACAATGTGAAACTGGAATACATGCAGAATCAACCAGGTCTTTTCAGTAAACAGTGAGAAAACACAAATACCCGAAGTCAGAATTTGTGGTCAGTTAAATATCTGGCACAAATCTAGCCTTGAGGGTAGCAATTCTCACATGTACTGTATTTAGTCTCAAATCTCTCACAATATCATGCAGAATCTGGCCCTATCATTTTCCCTGGTAGCCACAGGCAGTTATTTAACTATTTTGCACCATAACCTAATTTACTCTATCAGACAACCTCACATTATAGACCTGTTTGTTTTAATTTGACCAAATCATTCACTATGACAGAAAACTTTAGTTAACCAGGTAGCTAGTTAATGTACTTTCAGCCCCAGTAATATGCTGTTTGGCTAGCATCCAATACGACAATATGACCCCGGCTGAATGTAACTACGATGTGGGAAACAAGGAACTGCTGGCCATAAAATTGGCCCTTGAAGAGTGGTGGCACCTCCTCGAGGGTGCCGACCAACCTTTTTCAGTCTGGACCGATCATAAGAACTTGGCCTACCTCCAGTCAGCTAAAAGACTGAACCCCCGACAAACGAGGTGGGCCTTGTTCTTTGATCGGTTCCGGTTTACCCTCTCATATCGGCCGGGGTCTCGCAATCAGAAACCAGATGCCCTCTCCCGACAATATAACCCCTCAGCCACTGATGACACTCCGGAGCCCATTCTTC